CTGACGTTATCCTAATGTTCAATTTCAGTCTGCCTCACCAAGCGTAAGAAAGCATTGTACACGTTCTGATAAACCACACTGATGCAATTAAGCAAATGAATATTTGCTGTGGGCAAATATCTATTTTCTATATATATTTGTAGATATGAAGCATTCTAGTTAATTGTGGATGCATTGGGCAGACAGAATTGTGTTTATTTCCAGGCCATCCTGATCGTCGTTTACTACTATAAGGTGTATGGTTGGAGGCAAGATCAAAGGCGCCGCACAGCATTTATTAGATAACAGACGGGGTCGTCCGTTTCGCTTTGAACAACCACCCCACCTGTCTGTAGGTGTTATATAATCGGTGCGCAAATAATTGTGTCAAGTCCACTGCCGGGCTGATGCGGTGTCAGTGTCAGCGATGAACATGAATGCTCAAATTATAGACTTGTAGCACTCACAAGTTGCTTAGCCAAATTATTTGAAAAGTGTATATTCAATCTCTGATAACAGGAAATATAACCTTAGAAAAAGATTCAACATACAAACAATCAAATGTAGAACACAGTCCTATGCTTATTATCATTTCTTCTGGATATGATCAACCTGCGGAACCCTCTATCCGATGAAGTAACTAATGCTCGCTCATTAAAAGAAATCAAATCCTTAATTAATCGTTCTGATGCAATTACTAATAATTTTGACTTCAAATATTTTCATAGATCATGCCAAATTGTCCACTGTCGCCTTAGGCTCGGCTGCAGTGACTTAAACGCTGATAAGTTTAGACGACATGTATCAGACATACCAGACTGCACTTGTGGATATCACCTTGAAGATGCAATTCACTTTTTCTATAACTGTTAAAAAATACGATAATATCAGAAACACTGTGTATTTCTACACACATGGGTATGGTCTAAAAAATATATTACATGGCAGTAGTTAAGCAGTTCTACAAACATGACTCTTCTTAAATCAGTTCATGACATCATTGTCAAAAGCAAAAGGTTTGAGTAGCTTAATTTTATGCATGTAGTAAAGGAAAACTGCATTACTTTATTTCAAAGACACCACTTGCTTGCTTTCATTTGTGCATTTTGTATGTTTATGTTCATCACTCTCTTATATATATCCAGCTGTTGTTAAGTTGTTACCTGGAGAGGTATTACATAAGCATGTTTTGCTTGTTTACCGATCCAGATTTCTTTTGAAATAAAAATACGTTTAAGCCAACACACAGCTAACCGTAAAACACATGATTGTAAACTATTCAAAAAGGGGCACTAATCTCTTGCTTCTTCTCGGGTGTCGGACTCAAACTCATTTATTCTTAGAATAACATGACATACAATTATCTACAATTTTTATTATGTACAATTTAATAAAAATAGGATACGTGGATACAAATACAATTTACCAATTGTATTGTACACATTGTTATGGAATTTAGATAGGCCTTTAAGATTTCTCACACTGTTAGTGGTCATAATTTTCTTAAATGTTTGGAAACTTAAGATATTGCTTATTTAAGAGTTCATATCGCCGTTGGTGAAAAGCTTCACATCGGAATATATAATGCAATTCATCTCCCACGGCGATAGAATCACAGAGTGGACACTGGTTGTCTTCCCTGGGAATGTTCAGCCATCGACCAGTTTCAACTGGTACTCCTTGGTTAGAAAGTTCTGACTTTTAGTATTGGGAGAAATATTGATTTTGAGAGCAGTAGATATTTCGCAAATGAAGGTTGATTCTTCAGGTAACACGACCTTTGGATTTCCGCTTGGGCTTACTAGCTGCCGTGAGTCAATTTGCTCGTTAACGCAACCGAGCGTGACAAGAGACTGGGCTACCAGTCTGCAAGGACAGCTAAATAAACTTACGCATTTTTGAAAACTGATTGGTTACCCGTGATCTATGAAGATTTCAACAAAGGGCGCATGGTAATTAATTTCTTCAGCCTAATCAAACAGACAAATAACGGCGAAAGCTCATCGGATGTCGTCATTGGGAAATACCCCTGATTGTTACAGTTTGATAATAAAAAAGTATCCCTGAGTGAAAGCATTTGCGGATTTCGGATTGCGTGGATGATACAATTACTACTCCCTTGTTGTCATCCACATTTTCTGGTATAACCCTACACTTAAGTATTTGTCGTAATTCACTTGCTGCTCAGTTAATGAATTTATAACATGTATTCTTAGTTGTAGCACCACTCAGATTACCCGATAAAGGTTCAAATTTGGTCTTTCTTGTACCTGGGGTAATTATTTAATCTAAATCCAGGTTTGAAGTGAGGTGGAATGTGAGTTATGCACGTCGCAGCCCAGCAAGTGATGTATGATCAGTTGCTTTACTTTTTTTGTAAATCAACTGATCATTCCCAGACATCAAAGGATCAACAGGAAATACGTTGATTGATTAATTACTGTTATCTTGCACAGTGGATATGTCAAAAGTAAGTGTTTACATGTGAAGGTAGAGTTACTAAACCTAGGGAATACTCATATCATGGCGTGAAGTACAGATGTAAAAACAACATACTTTGTTCAAAGGGTAACCGATAATACACTGACTGGTTGTTCATTGTTATCTAACTCAATGCATGTTTTTAAGAACCGTGGACATTATAAAAATAGTTGTCTCAGCTAACTTGGCACCTATGTGAAACAATTGAAACAAAATAAGTGATCAGTTAAGAAACAAACACGGGTTATACTATTCGATACATTTAAATAACGTTTAAAAACGATATATTTAAATATTTTAATATATTTCATATATATTCCAAATATTGTCTCCAAATAATTATTATTAAAGTATTTGATTCTCACATAGACATTTTACATCGAATAAGTATTTTTGTACAGCTGCAGACGCAATGGATATTGTTCCTGTATGTTGATATTCCCGGATACATTATAACTTTGTTAGGTTGTTATAATGATTTTTGCATTTTGTTTTCATTCATTCGCTGCAGCTTTGAACAGAATCATTCTTGTTCCTTTCCGTTTGGTTGGGAAGTTTTTCGATGCGCGATAGACGGTGTTTTCACAAGTATTTTCTTTTGTAAGCGTGTATATGTTACAGTCAATGTGTAAAATATGATTCACTCAGGCAATTTATTAAATATCTAAATATTTCAGTCATTTTACAAATTGACTGAATAATCCATTCATTTATTTAACCGACTGACTAAAAATGATAAAGACGACCAAGAGAGCTTAAACACATCACAATATATTAATTATGCTAAGAAAAGAAGCCAAACAATACAGAACTGTACTTGGTGATGGTATTAATTATAAACATAAACAAATATTTGGAATTCGTTATCATATTAATAAAGATGGACATATTTTTCAGTTAATTTGTAAAATAAACTGAATGTTTAGGCGTTTTAATACATTTCCTTAGTGAAATCTGTTTACATTTTGAATGTAAACATATACACACGGTAAAATAAGCAATGTTCAGTGAAATATTTACTCTGTGTTGCAAGTCAAAATAGTGTACACGAAGATCACAATTACCAAGCAAGTGACTTATCAAAACTGCATCACCATTACCGATGCTCCCCACAAATATACCTACATTTCAAAAACTGTATTTCATTTTTGTTGATCAGTGTGACCATACGTCCTTATACTTTCAATTAAAATGCGCTTACGAATGGCGAGCACAGGTCGCGAACAAGTCTAGATTTCTGCTATATCATCCGGGTACTCACTGGGAAAATACAGTAATGCACAGGTAACAACTACTCCCGCGGAATTGCTTTAGATCAGTGTCCTTTGTACGTTGAAATACTATATATTGTGAAAGACAAAATGATGTATCAAGGATCAAGTAGAAGATACATTGACCGTTGCGCTGGGAGTTTATTCAACAGACCGTGAAAATAACACTGCTGTATCTTATTATTTATTTTAGATGATGCAGGCAAAGCTCACTTCTCCTGGCGGCCATTATCAAACGGCCAGCTAAAACACAACCCCGCGCTTACTTCTACAGGTCTCTTCCTGTAGTACGGTAATTAGTATTCTCTCCCTCAAGTGTATCCTCAATGATATAACCCACCCTCATTAATTACATGCTGCTCTTTTCCAGCCTCACGGCTATGGAGCTGTGATAAAGAGTCCAAGTCATCATAAAGTAATTAGGGTCCAATAAAAACAATGCGCCGCCAAACCTCATACATATTATCACTGAAAGTCGTACTACAGACGGTTAATGTCAAATCACAATAAAAGCATTTCAATTGCAATAACATGTTCCAGGACCATGTATTCTCTTAACACCATCGGATTTAGAAGCAATGGTCGTATAAAACAAAACAGATCTATTTAATCGCAACAGTATTCATGTTATTCCCACAAAATCACATAAAGAAAGGAGACATTAGGAAATACATGTGTATTATCATTTTTCGTCAGGATAACTAAATTTTCTCTCCTTGTTACCACCTCCAGGTTCAGCTTAAGACGGGTCCTCCTTTGGTCAAAAGTTTGTTCCCCCTCTAATGAGTGTGTCACGCGTTGCACACGAGTGGCGGACGGGGTGCACACCCGTGTGCAACGCGTTGCACACGGGTCTCACACGCGTGACCAACCCGATGCACACTAGTTGCGTAACGCGTTGCCCATGCGTGTAAGGGGAATGAACTTCTAGGCAGTAGTGTAAGCTCCGCCCACTAGAGTGCGGTAGTTACTACCGCAGATGGACCTTTAACTTTCTGAAAGGTATATAGTACACCTCTTTGATCAGTTTTGAGAATAAGATGTACATCTATAACAGTTCTATATAAGACGGTATACATTTAACTTGATATGACTAAGACTATGCGTAGTTTCGTTGAGGCCCTCATATTGTGAAGATGTATTGCGTGTTACCTAGCATTGAGAACTTTGATGTAGTTATATAATAGACAGATATTCAAGGTTAGACAGACGCCTTATACTTATTCAATGCATTGTGACACGCCACGATGAATAAAAACACCCACACACTTTGTTTTTAAGTACTAGTCTTTATTCAATTGTATGAAATACACATGATCATTTGTAAGATATTGAACCCAATTTGCAACTGCCACTGCAGCTAGAAAGTTGGATAACATTTACTCTGTGTCAGTAGTCACTCGGGGAGAGGCCCACGTCATCAGTAACATGTTATCAAAGGCCGAAATGTTAGAGATTTTGTCTTTTTAGCTGCAGTGAACCAACCTGATCCTGTTACGGATTATCGCAGTTAATGATAACAAAAATCATTAGTCTTATTAAAACAAACTGAAAGTTAATGAAACACTCACACCAAACCAAGTCAGCATCTTGTTTGAAAATTTGTAAACTATAAGCCCATCTTCTCAAGTGTATCATTGAATCATAAGCTTCCATAAAATAATGATGAATAATAGAAATATGACTGATTTAAGATTAATCAGTTACGTTATAATTACATATATTAAATGTTATCTGTAATGCTGCCTTGTTGTTTATCACGGTAGAGCCATCTCAAAAGTTATGTGCCCTTGTGGTGAACCAATACGATGCAAATCCGAGGATCATCAGGTAAGCTGACATTCTCACAACGACGGCGCCTGTTATGAATACAAAATGGATATTGATCTTATATAATGTTTGAGACCTATATAACACAATCTTCCTCACCAACAAAAGAACCTGGTACAAGTTCTTGAAACCCTAAATAGTTTTCGATTTCGATCTGGAACTCTTATTCATCGTCAAATTGTGACCAAGTTAGGTATACATACTTGAATGTAAGTGATCAGGGTAGATATAGATATAACTCACACAAATGACAAAGAACGATGAACACGATAAGGGATGAATAGATGAGGTGATACGGTAACTGCAGAGGTTGAAATATCGACTACGATTCCGCCGCATAATAAGCGAACGCGGATGTCCATAGCTTAGTACCATAACAAGAACACTAGATTCTAACACAGATCTCTAGGGGATATTATTACGATGTTAATGAACTTGGAGTCAACAATGATTATGTAAATAATAAAATAATAGGATTTGCTAGCGCTAACACAAGGATATATGAACAGTGTATATTATGTTTCGTTCTCAGCTTCCTGGATTGTCTAGTTTAGAATGGATATTTTAAAGCGAACAATGCTGTCTGAGGCATTAACCAAGGTTCACTCGTACATCTACTCTTATTATTATACATGTAACCCTGTATTGCGTCCGGTTGGAGTGAGTGAGTGTGGTTTTACGCCGTTTAAGCAATATTCCAGCAATATCACGGCGGGGACACCAGAAATGGGCTTCACACATTGTACCCATGCCGGGTCTTCGGCGTGACGAGCGAACGCTTTAACCACGGTTGGAACGACACGACGCTCAAAATGCTTGTCATGATACGACATGATTTACATGAATGAAACAAGCAGTGGCATCACCAGTACGTTCTCAAACAAACCTTTGCAGTCGCAAGGGATTCACAATATCAAAGCGTAAATCTGAAAGATCTCTTTTCCCTTGTTAGCGGGCATCTCATTATCAGCTATTTGAAAGAACTTGGTCTGTATAATAAATTATAAATATGTATGTGAATAATTAAATGCTTGTTTTTAAATTTGATGTGATGTTATTATCAACTGACATTATTGAAGGTTCTGTCCAGGAGGTTAACGTAGCGTAAAAATATTGTCCCCATGTGTGGCACATAATCCTATCATAATCGATGTTACTATCATCAACCAGTATTTTTAAACCAACTCATTGGTGACAATGTTTGGCTAGTTTTATACACAACCACCAGTAGCCAAAGGGATGACGTAAATCCTGCTTGGGTATCATGCAGGAAGCAGAGGTACCGTAAGTGCCTATGATCCCCAGCGAGGTGGCCCAGCTTGGGTAACTGGTGGCCTATAGCCCGTATTTTAAAACTGTATTATACTGTTATGCTCAAATATGTTTCATAAATTGTTTAAAAATAGTATGCATGAATTGATTTTAAATATTACTTTGCATCGATGACTCAATCGTCGCTATATGGCTTGAATAATGGTGATGCGACGTTAAACTCTCTCACTCACTCACACTCAAACAAGCTGGGAAATCACGACAACATAAAAGCTCCCATCTCATCTGATAAGTCGTTCAGAATCAGGCGGGCGAAAATCATGCAAAGTAGCTGATGAATTGTTTTAAGATGGTGACGTGACATCTCAAACGAAGCTATCATGGTGTGTGGGTGGATCCATTATATATATCCTAAAAAATATAGAAACAATACAATACCTAACGGGGGATGATAGTTTACTTGATCATAAATACCTATCCTAGGATATGATTTGGATTCAAAGGAACAAAATGTTGTGGATAACCATTGACATATGCAGTCATTTTTCTATACAGATGTAAACATGAATGACTTCTCTTTCACGAATTACTGTAATATTTCATCTGATACATGGAACCTTTTAACAGTACAACATGATACCTAAAAATCAGTGAGAAAAAAATAGGAAATTGGGGCACTCAAATTAGAAATTTGCGATTGGTCAGAACGTCTTACTTTCTGTGGAAGAGAAACATAATCTCGACAATCTGGTAACTTAAAGTCGCCTACCATTCTGACATGTGTCGCCGGTGTATCCACCGATACATTTGCATACGGCTGGAGGGCTGCTCACGTCACAAGTACCGCCATTCAAGCATTCACTTCCTCCGTCTGTGCATATAGCTGCTGAAGGAGCTGAAATATATGTACATTAACTACATAATGATGTACATTTAAAATTTCTACATACCTTTCTCAGTTGGCTTATATGTATATGTCGCCAAACGTTCACATATCAAGATAAATTAGCAAGGATCCAATTGCCTCAGGGGATTCTCACATACTTGCGATCTTTCATAAACCTGCTGTGCATCCATCATATCAAGTGGATGAGTACGACTTTCGGTATTTTTGAAAAATTAGCACCATATTACAGGGAAGAAAACAAGGAGGGGTCCCACACACTGAACCCCAGACTAACATTTAGTACCAGAAATAAAGTTGTCTCTTTACAAAATATCCATTTAAATAAAACAAAGTAAAGTTCAAATGAAGCTGAGAACAATCCTTACAGCTGAGGCAACCTAGATTTGCGTTAGATTCCTTAAGTAATATATAATCTCTTGGATCTGGAAGACAGACCAATTGCACCCATGTAGTAAATTTAAATATGTACACTCGGCGCCATGCTTTAACTTCTTGGCTAACCCATCGCACCCTATTATCCGTAGACACCATTTGGACATGTAACTATGGTATCGTCCTATTGAATAAGATGTTAAGCTCATTCCAGACATACATGTAACTACGGGTGACAGTGGCTGCAGCATTTGAAACAGTTTACGTATTAGGAATTGAAGATCAAATATGAGTTTCGACAATTGGAGATGAATATTGTTGTAGTAACATGTCACCTACCATTCTGACATGTGTCGCCTGTGTATCCACCGATACATTTGCATACGGCTGGAGGGCTGCTTACGTCACAAGTACCGTGATTCAAGCATTCACTTCCTCCGTCTGTGCATATAGCTGCTGAAGGAGCTGAAATATATGTACATCAACTACATTATGATGTACATTTAAAAGGTCTGCATACCTTTCTCAGTTGGCTTATATGTATATGTCGCCATACGTTCACATATCAAGATAAATTAGCAAGGATCCAATTGTCTCAGGGGATTCTCACATACTTGCGATCGTTCGTAAACATGCTGTGCATCCATCATATCTCATGGATGAGTACGACTTTCCGTATTTTTGAAAAATTGGCACCATATTACAGGGAAGAAAACAAGGAGGGGTCCCACACACTGAACCCCAGACTAACATTTAGTACCAGAAATAAAGTTGTCTCTTTAAAAAATATCCATTTAAATAAACCAAAGTAAGGTTCAAATTAAGCTGAGAACAATCCTTAGAGCTGAGGCAACCTAGATTTGCGTTAGATTCCTTAAGTAATATATTCTCTTGGATCTGGAAGACAGACCAATTGCACCCATGTAGTAAATTTAAATATGTACCCTCGGCGTCATGCTTTAATTTCTTGGCTAACCCATCGCACCCTATTATCCGTAGACACCATTTGGACATGTAACTATGGTATCGTCCTATTGAATAAGATGTTAAGCTCATTCCAGACATACATGTAACTACGGGTGACAGTGGCTGCAGCATTTGAAACAGTTTACATATTAGGAATTGAAGATCAAATATGAGTTTCGACAATTGGAGATGAATATTGTTGTAGTAACATGTCACCTACCATTCTGACATGTGTCGCCTGTGTATCCACCGATACATTTGCATACGGCTAGAGGGCTGCTTACGTCACAAGTACCGTGATTCAAGCATTCACTTCCTCCGTCTGTGCATATAGCTGCTGAAGGAGCTGAAATATATGTACATCAACTACATAATGATGTACATTTAAAATGTCTACATACCTTTCTCAGTTGGCTTATATGTATATGTCGCCATAGCTTCACACTTCAAGATAAATTAGCAAGGATCCAGTTGTCTCAGGGGATTCTCGACCGCCTCCGTGGTCTTGTGGTAGAGCGTCCGCCCGGAGAGCGGAAGGTCCAGGGTTCGATCCCGGGCCGCGTCATACAAAAAGACGTTAAAAGATTGTACTTGTTGTTACCCTGTCTGGCGCTCGGCATTAAGGGGCTAAAACAAGGACTGGTCGGCTCGGAGTCAGTATACTGTGTCTGAGTGGGGTATTCATGTTAAACTGCGGCATGGTATCTCAGTGAGCTAGCACTATAAATCGGCATCAGTCCGGACTAGTACAAGCAGCCACACACACACATACACGTGCATGCACGTCGCTATATAAGTGCAATAATCTTGGACGCGACGTTAAACCCAATTTCACCTCACCTCACCTCAGGGGATTCTCACATACTTGCGATCTTTCATAAACGTGCTGTGCATCCATCATATCAAGTGGATGAGTACGACTATCGGTATTTTTGAATAATTTGCACCATATTACAGGGAAGAAAACAAGGAGGGGTCCCACACACTGAACCCCAGACTAACATTTAGTACCAGAAGTAAAGTTGTCTCTTTACAAAGTAAAGTTCAAATGAAGCTCAGAACAATCCTTAGAGCTGAGGCAATCTAGATTTGCGTTGGATTCCTTTAGTAATATGTTCTCTTTGATCTGGAAGACAGACCGATTGCACCCATGTAGTAAATTTAAATATGTACACTCGGCGTCATGCTCTAACTTCTTGACTAACCCATCGCACCCTATTATCCGTAGACACCATTTGGACATGTAACTATGGTACCGTCCTATTGAATAAGATGTTAAGCTCATTCCAGACATACATGTAACTACGGGTGACAGTGGCTGCAGCATTTGAAACAGTTTACATATTAGGAATTGAAGATCAAATATGAGTTTCGACAATTGGAGATGAATATTGTTGTAGTAACATGTCACCTACCATTCTGACATGTGCCGCCTGTGTATCCACCGATACATTTGCATACGGCTAGAGGGCTGCTTACGTCACAAGTACCGTGATTCAAGCATTCACTTCCTCCGTCTGTGCATATAGCTGCTGAAGCAGCTGAAATAACATATACATTGAATGAAATATAGTGCATTAAGACTGTGTCAACGGTACTTCCTAAATAGCTAATTTTGTGGCTTACGAATTGCCAATTTTTGCGATATGGAAACAGTACTTTTTCAAATACTTCTTCATCGCCTCCACGGGAATTTCTGACTAGAATGTGTCTCCAGCAGCATTTTGTGGTCAGGCTCGGTGTCATCGTTATAAACAACATGCTCATCACATAGTCGGAATCGTCCAATCGACTCTGGCTGGATTATTGCTGAGTGCGTTTTTTCAACAAACAAAACTGACAAATCATCTATAGATTTTATTTATAGAAAACACAATTCTATCAATTTTTAGGACATGGCTGCAAAAGAATGACAGTGATTCTTTTAAGCGGGGGGAAGGGGGTGTGGGGGGTGTGTACATTTGAGAACCCGAAAATGATTTATGACAACTTCTTTTTCAGATAACATTCCATTATATCACACATTTCCCAAAATCATGAAACCACTGATCTGCATTTCAGCATGTAACAAGCAATGTATGAAAGAAAGGTAGTATGTACATGAGTGTTTTGAAATATCAACCAGTAATACTGCCAGTTCACACACACACACACATGTAGGACTAGACGTGAATACCTCAACCAACCAGACCTTGTCATTAATCCAGTGGTATATTTAAATCGACAATATATTCTTGAAAGCATAAACTTATTGAAATTAATTGTAAGCATAACTGCAATCACAACTGAGAAAAAAATAATAATGCACTCACCTGTGACAAACAGGAACGCTGTAAAGAACATCATGTTTTGGTATAAATATCTTGGATACTTGAAGTTGAAACAATTCAGAATTTATGGTCATGCTTTTACAACACATATGATCAGGAACATACATAAATTACACATCAAACAGAAGAGAAATTAGTCAAAGAAGCATTCAAATTAAGAGTGGAGATTTTCAAGATACGATACATAATAAGTGGACCTTACATCAATCGAAACAGTGGATTCAATATGGATTCAAAACAATATTTACCACTTACGCAGTAAAAGTCGAAAGACTGACAATTTCAGCATTGTGCCAGGCCTTTGGGTCGCTTTCCGTGTCAGTCAACGCACTCCAGTCAACACACAAACAACTCCGGTCGTCTCAGGCTTTTATATCGTCTGTTACCATGGGGTATTCTGTTGACAGTAACGCATGTGTCACGTACCCAGATAACCTTGATAAGGAGATGACTCACGTAAAACCTTATTAGACATATATCATGAATACGTTGTCAGCCTAACTAATTCAACTGGCTTTTTTATCAGCTCTGTGCCGGGAAGCCTGAACATTTATCAATTTCAAAACACTGTTTGACTGGTAAAGTTGGTTGGTTTTTTATGCCGTACTCTAGCACTATTCCAGCGTGATTTGCACTGAACAATGTTGTAGTAACAACTTTAAAGCATTAATGTGAATAACGTTACTGACCTGAAGTAAATAATATACAATTCTTATCACAGCCTTTTGGAATAGTATTACTCATATTACACAGGCTTTAACACATTAAGATGCCGAGTGAAATAATGTTCAGTTAGGCCTGTGATGTTATTCTTAAAAAATCAAGGATCATACTCAAAAGTCTGAAATAGCCGTCTTTTGGGTTTATTGTTGAGGCTATTTGGTGCCATACGTTTTGTTTTAATGTTTATTCAAAAGATGACCAGTTGCAGAGTAAATGCGACGCGAGCTCAGAGCAAGTCGGCCCTAGGCGATCATTCCAGCATCAACAAGTAAGCAAAGGAGTACGTGCAATTTGATCAAACGCATCTACTATGTTTTACGCTTATTAAGATGTAGCCTGTTGCCATTAAGACAGTCATGCCGACGACTTCAATGCAATATGCGATGTTTACTCGGCGGATAATGTGTAAAGTTCTCCTGCACTGCTATATGATCGGAGTGAGTGAGTGAGTTTGGTTTAACGCTGCTTTTAACAGTATTCCAGTTATATCGCGGCGTGTCAGCTTAATGTGGGAAGAAAGCCCGAAGTAATGCAGGTCCCAGACGTTTACCACTTCGGTGAAACCCACGAGCACGGGCATGATGCTGACAAACCTAGAAACATAATCGGGGCGAACCGGGATTCGAACCCACAATCAAAGGTTTCTGGCGTGCCCAAGGGACGCAACTTTGCACAGCAAATCGCAGCGCCTCAGACGACTGGGCTACCCGTGCCCCCATATGATCGGAGTGTCAAAAAAGTAAATGTCACAGTTACGTGACCGTCGCAATGGTTTAGTGTTGCATTTTCGCTCGGCACCAATATCATCAGGTTTGATGTTTTGCTCTTACATTGATATTAGACGCCGTTGTCAGTTAGATGAAAGTTCTTCAGTAGCAATCTCATCATTCTGTGGGTTCACTGGACACAGTTAAAAGAGAGTTTTGTAAGGCAAATAACCCCAAAACACACATTACCCTCCATTTACCGTCGAATGTGATAGTTGCCGAGCTTTTTCCTGTTTCCACATAAGATGGCTCTCATCTTGTGTTTGCCAGCCTCCGTCATTGATTTCATGCTTTGAGTAACATATGTGATCATTTACACTTCTCCCCAGAACGCATATGCAGTGAAGCACTACTTAAACTAACTCACGACACGACAAGGGGATGTCACACTTCGAACAGCCAAGTACGATGCCTTAAACGAATGTATAGTTTAGTGTGTTCTGATATTGTGATATATAGAGTTTTGTAATGGTGCAACACATACCACGGTTGTCTTCATGATTTTTATTCTTTAACTGCTTTGATGAAAAGGCTGCACATGCAGCGACGAAAAGTGATATCATCACTAAAGTAAAACTGTTATTCACATCTGATCCGTTTGAAAGTTAATTCTAATGTAATTAATAAAATAATATCCGTTCAACATCCAACAAATCCCATGGAAGGTTGTAAGCTGTAAGATATTATTAATATTTATAAGGATTTTATCTGCCCCAAACATCAGCGCGGGTTATATCGCCTTTACATGCATCCAGGAACAAGTGCTGAAAAGTAAGAATTCACAAATACTGATTGGAGACGATTTTCTCGAAAATAATATTATTTTCTTAATGACGAAAAACAACAGTTCCATCTGATCAATCGGTATTCTAAGTTTCAGCCTCATTATTTACTATCCAAACAAATAGGGGTTCATATAATATAAATATTATGTTATATACAAGAAATAACACAAAGATATGAAAACTGTGTTTTTACTTTTCTTTTTAAACATAATCTCCCTGCTCTTCAATACACTTCTCATATCGATATTGAAGCTTTTCAATGCAAATCAGGAAGACGTTTTCTGAACCCACCCTGAAAACCCCATTCAGGGCAGCTTTGAGGTCATTGTGGTTATTTCATTTTAGGAAACAGGTGGACATCACTTGGTACCAGGTCAGACGAGTATAGAGGGTGAGGAAACTCTTCGAAACCACATTGACGCACAGCAGCCTTTGCAAGTCGAGAGGTGTAAGAAGAGGCATTGTCATGAAGTAGTAGAACCCCAGCAGTCCTCCTCGCTCCTTTTTTGGATAGAATCCACCAGGCGATGAAGCAAATTAGCATAGTATGCACCGGTAATTGTCTTTTGACTTTCTAAGTAATTAACAAGGATCACACCCTTTGCATCCCAGAACGCACAGGCCATAACGTTTTTTGAATTTCTTTGGTGCCGGAAAAGTGGAATGGTGCCATTCTATGCATTGACGATTTGACTTGGGATCAAAGTGGTAGACCCATGTTTCATCACCCGTTACTAATCTCTATTTGAATTTGATGAAATCCTCCTCAATTATATTATTTCTAAATTATCTTTGGCAATGTCAGTTCTCTTTTTCTTGAGATCAGAATTTAGAAACTTTGGCACCCAACGAGCAGATATCTTATTCATCTGAAAATGTACATGAAGAATAGTTTTAATAGATCCATGGCTTAGACCTGTGTCTTCCTCAAGTTCAGCTAGGGCACTTATCCCCATACACTTGTGACATGCGGCCATGAATTTCTTGGGGAGTACTTTTCTCTGAAAGTAAAAATCTTGATGACTGCTCGATACTCGTTCTTTTACATTTCTCTGTCCATGTGGACCCCTATCACGTTCAACTGACTGTCACTAATATACATACGGCCTCAAGAGATCAAATACACTTGCAATGAACTACTCAAATTATGAGCTACATTGACTAGTTCACCTTCTTATGGCCGATAGTTGAAAGTTAGTCAGGCTTGGAACATTTTGACCAGCCTCGTATACCAAGTTATCCCTTAAACCTACATGTACATGTACACTTGCCAATTAGGCTTTTTTGTCATTTTTGTCATTTGTAACTAACACAATGCAACGTTCGTTGGCAAGCACTATCTGTAAACTATGTCGACTCTCTACCAAGCAATACTTTACACAATAATAATTTATTTCACGCCCGTAGTAACAATCGTCTCAAATAAGGAATTAAACATCTGTGTACACTTCGAACGTATGTGACGCTACTCTGAGGCTATTTACCCCACCTGGTGTGTGGTATACGTAACGTGACAAATTCAATCTGCAAACATCATTAGTTTTTATTTTCTTCTGTTTGTATGATATCTGTCCCACGTTTTCACACTGAACAGATTTAAAGTTGTAAGAAATCATTTCTTGTGCGTGATTCGGATTTAACGCTAAGGCCGGTTAATACGAAAGGAAAACCTGAAAAGCTTTCGTAACGATTCGATGAAATCCACGATTGTTTCTTTTTCAGTGATATGCACGACCGTATTAAGGGATTAAGCATTGCTGTGCACTGTAGTGAACATTTTGATAACATGCGCTTGAGAGTTTAGCAAGTGCGACACAACCACACGATCTATAGATTACCAGATTCTCTTTACACAGAGCAACTGCAACTTTTGTTGAAGACCAAGCTTTGACACATATTGACAGTACACTTATAGGTATTACACATATCACACGTAGGTGGCGTGTAGCACTACTACTGGTTAAATATGTTTCACTGCATTTCACTAGTTGCTTGTTTGTTATTCTAATATTTTTCCTGAAAAAAATGTTTATAATTGATCGTATTGTGGCGTGTTAACTACAGACTGACATAGACCACAATATGTCAAAATGTGGAAAGGTAATATCAGTGTTTTTTTTCTCGACATTTCACGATGTCTCACAAAGAACTGCAAACGAACGAAAGCTAAGCCATATCCAGATCACCAAGTGTAAAATGCCTGTCTGATGCAATACCTAATGGATATCTGTGGAAGGGTGTCAAAATCGACAATGGCGACATAAAGATCGCTTCTTTTGAGTAACGTGTATATGTCACAAACACTTCTATTTTATCCACATACCACATGTACATGTAAAACATGGGTTGAACCTACATTTTACCAAATATTGAATATCCAATCGAGTGGAGCAGTGTTTAACGGACCAGATGTCAATCAAATGATTTGGTTAAAATTACAAACACTGATAGCAACAACATAAACCGTCTTTGAATGTCAAGTTTTTTAGTAGTATATACTCAGCTTCATTAGTTTCAATTATATCAGTGGCAAAGAATGAGTGAGTCAGTGCATTGTACTCGGCCTCTTTTCCTGCAAGGGTGCGGGACACTGTGACTTTGCTACACATATGTGAGATAACCTACGTAGTAGCATACAGCTCAGTGTTGTGGTGTTCTGAATGATTGATGTCATCACTACAAACTATATTAAATGAAAATCTAATACATTGCAATAGAATCCTATTCCATATGAAGCATGTCATAACTTTCTAACTTTTTCGAGTACCAAGCTATTAATGAAGAGTGGATTTAAAGTTCCCTTTTCTTACAATGCAATGTTCGGTAAAGTGAGTGAGTGAATGAGTGAGTGAGTGAGATTTTACGCCGCTTTTAGCAATTTTCCCGCAATATCACGGCGGGGAACACCAGAAATTGGCTTCACACATCGTACCCATGTCGGGAATCGAACCCGGGTCTTCGGCGTGAAGAGGGAACGCTTTAACCACTAGGCTACCCGATACAGGTACCTTATCAAGCTAGTACCTTTAGCACTTGTTTGAAAATCTAGCTTGCAATCTTTCACTCACTTGCAAATTACAACATGCATAGTGCATTCTTATGGTT